TGTTCATATTTTTTGATATCCGTGAGAAATCATATTGCGGTACTACTGACCGTCGGTAAACAGTCAGTCCGGAACCTGCAAGAAACCTAGACGGATCTTGCACTAGGCCTTTTCGATACGTATTGTTGGAAACACTGGTACAACACTGGATCGGCTAAAATCAAACTGCCCAGAGCAACTGTTGTCTTTATAAACTATTCGGTTAGGATGCAGCCAAATTCGTCGCCATGCAACATAGGTTCTGGATAGAGCTTGGCCTAAATGCCATGATGAAATACTGTAGATCGTCTTTGCGGAACCTATTCTTCTCTGAACAGTTTGCTCAGCAAGTAAAATTAATATACTTTACTCTACAACCAGCACCGTAAGACTTCACTTTTCCGAGATGATCAAAGCCGTAACAAACGAAGCCTTTCAATCCGAAGATTTTCTTATATTCCGTGGAATATAGCGCCGTGTTTTGCCAGTGAAATGTTGCTGAAAAGCGATTTGGTGAGAAGCGTCATTGCGAAGGATAGCGATGCAATTGTTGGAAAATACCGTTAGAAAATACGGGCTTTAGGCGGTTGTTCTTTCTGCAGCAGTTCGCCATCCGCTTCTTCAGCGACCTTGTCTTTGGAATATTTCAATGGTCTTCCACACACGAAGCAACAGGAAATTCTGATGGTTACGGTGCTGCGACTAAATCTTCACAAAGGCTCAGGTAGCTGAGTTTTACGGGAGATTTTGCCACTGTCCCGACAGAACCCTTCTCCCTTTTCATCCGGGCATGGAACCGACAACTGCGGTCAGATGCATCTGCCACCCACATACACTCGCCATTCTTTGCGGTTCTGAACCTTCTCCCTCAAGGCACGGCCGTCCCTCTTTTTTGGTAGGCCACCAAACGGCCTTATCTGGCCGCAAGGGTACCAGTCGACGATCGTCGCTGACCACCTCATGTCGGTGAGCTAAGCAACGTGCTGGTCGATGCGAACTTCCTCCACTCATGTCCGCTGTCCAATCACCGCGTTTGAGACGTGGTTGCGATGTGAAGTTTGTCACATTCTTCTTTTATGGTTCTCTCGGTTGCAGATATTTGGCGCTTCTCAGAGTTAATGAGTGACCGCACCTCACAGATGTACAACGTTGCCAACAGGATGGCAGAGTTGAAGACGGGGTCGCGGATTTCTTTCCTAATATTGCCGAGAACGACGCCCTTGATGTAAAGGAACGCGGGCCAACCGACCCTGTTTCTGAAAGCGCATTTTAATATCTTTTACATGCCCTTTCAAATATTGTTTAAAGTACAACAGAGCGTCAGTTTGAAGTACGGTGTAAACTAGCAAACCAACTGAAGCATTGTTGTAAACTGTGCTGACCCCGTTGTCGTGATCACGACCAGTGTGGCAGTCTCCAGTCGTGCACGTGAAGCGACGGTGGACAGTGCCTGAATCTCTTTTGATCCTCATCGCAAGACGACGCTGACTTGTACCATGACTGTACAGGAAGCAGCTCCGGGACAAGTGGAGGTGCGACGAGCACCGTACATGCTGCCCGCCAAAATCAAGGTAGTAAACGACCAGAACGAAACGGTATGCTTCAAATTTCGCACCAATTACCCCAACATTCTCACGGCGACGCCTCGCATGTTCAATCTGAACGCCGGAGAAAGCCTGGAATCGACCATGGGCTTATCCAAGGAAAGCATGGCGTTGTCCTGGCGTGCCTTAAAAGCCGTTTCGCCTCTTGTGAAGGTGTTCGCCTGGCCGCTGGCCGATTTTCACGACGCGGACGAGATGTGGGCGTCGGTGCCGTTGAGCAAATCCGATGTGCCCAGTGCCACCCTGCAACTTGACATCGTGGTGCCGACTGACTCCGGTGATGGAACTGATGATGTGGCCATCGACACCGGAAACCAAACCGTCAAATC